GTCTGCCTCCAGTTCCTGATTAAATCCTATAAATAAAACAACATTGATTTAAATATTATAATAAAGATCTTGCTCTTTTTGGATCACTTGGAAGGAGTTAATTTACTGGATCTTACTTTCGATCAAGAAGTCATCGTCTTAATAGTAGGAAAGCATGCTGAAAAGTATTATTTACAGGAGATATTCTCTTTCATTTAAGTCCTTGTTTGGATTGGCTTCCTAAGGCAGATGAAAAATCAATCAAAAAGACAAATTGAACGTTGGCTTTTGTTTCAAAGGGCTAAAAATACAAAGTGAAGGAAGTTTTTCTTTCATTGTATACAGCTTTGACCAGACCCTATGCATTCAATGTGGGCATAGAACTTCAGGGGGAAACACCGGATCAGGTGCAGTTGGTACTCACCGAAATAATGCTGCGGCTTACAACGTTAAATTATGAGGACTGGGTGCATACACTTGGCTTGCATTTTCATCGGAATAGAAGATTGAGGAGTTATCTGACTGAGCTGTTTAAAATATTATAAAAAATAAGTCAGGTAGATATACGGCCAAACTATTGTACCTGACTAGGAAAACAATAAGTGACAAGTGGCAAGTAACATTAACACCACACAAACGACCATCACCAGTAAGAGACAATGTAACCACTGCCCCTTGACATTCAATGGTGTTATCATAACTGAATCCTCCACTATCAACACCCTGGGGGTTACCATTGACTGGAAACTCCACTGGACTCACCACACAAACACACTGTCTACAAAAGCAGGACAGAGGCTGGGAATACTGTGGTGAATAACTCTCCTCCTGACTCCCTAAAGCCTGTCCATCATCTCCAAGACCCAAGTCAGGAGAGTGACAAAATACTCCCCACTAGCCTGGATGGGTGCAGCTCCAGTTACATTCAAGAAGTTTGACATCATCTAGAACAGAGCAACCCTCTCATCACATCCACAAACATCCATTCCCTCCACCATTGGTGCTCAATAGCAGCAGAATGTACAATTTACAAGATGTGCTGTAGAAATTCATCGAAGATCCTCAAACAGCACCTTCCAAACCCACGACCACTTCCAACTAGAAGGACAAGGGAAATAGACACATGGAAACACCACGACTTGCAAGTTCCACTCCAAGCCACTCACCATCGTGACTTGGAAATTAATCACCATTCCTTCACTGTTGTTGGGTTAAAATCCTGGAATTCCCTCCCTAATGGCATTGTGGGTCAACCCACAGCAGGTAGACTGCAACGGTTCAAGAAGGCAGCTCACCACCACCAGGGCAAGGAAGAGATTTAAATTAAGGTCAGATGAGTTCAAAACACTTCAGGAGTATAGATTTTCTGAAGTTGCTTTGACATATTAAAATTATGCACTTGCATACACTACGGTGCACTTGTATACAGTAACTGTATATAGACCAAATCATTTAATATACTGTGTAAATTGTGTAAATAAAATGGTACGTACAAATAGCTCTATACACCTCTCTAGTCATTAGGTTCAATCCTTTCAAAATATACCTCCATAAGCAACCGTTACTTTTATGCATGAATTGTTTCATAAAATATACCACCTGTTACCCTGATATGAGAGATTTACATCCTACTGGAAAATCAGTGGGTAGTGAAATTACATCAGAAGGAGTGCAGCCATGGAAATTAATTTATTGGATTAAGTAATTTGCAAATTCTACTTATTTTCACTTCTATTACTTTACTTGGGATAGTCTCACAATAACTGTCAGAATATGGAGATGTGTTACCACAGAACTGTTTTGGTATATAACTTTAATCATAATTGCTTCTCTTCTTGATATACTGCTCACTCTATTCAGTATATACGACTGTCTTCTAATGTGTTATAATATTTGCACCTTACCACTGTCCTCCTCCTTAAGTCCTGCAATTTCTCCTACACTTTCAACCAGACCAACAAGCAGTTCATTTGGAGTTCATGCTTTCAAGAGGTCACTGGGTGATTCTTGCATGATTATTTGTACAAAAGCAAATAAAACGGATGTTTCAGACTCTGTAACATTTCCCTTCTTTGTCCCACCGAATATAATTCAAACTTGGCAAGTCTGCTCTGTTGAAATAGCTTTCCAGAATATTACTATCATTACTTTAAGATGTCACTGTATCAGCATAGTTGCATTGAACCCAACTCATGTGCCTAGAATATACTCTACAAACTCATTGTCACAACCAAATTTTGTTTGCAACTCATGGGTAACATTTAAGATTTGTGATGTGAGTTAAAAGCCAAGGTTCTTCATCTTCCTGCTTAGCCAGCTAAATAAGAAATTACTTTAAGTGTTTAAAGAACCAACTCATGCAATAATAAAATGCATTAAGAATCCAGCGCTGTTACGAAAACTTTCCATATATTTGAAAGCCTACTAATAAGAACAAGAGGACTTTGGCCATTTGGTTAAAATGTACTTTGCTATAACAGAATTCACTGGTTGAGGGAGCTAGGATTTTCTTAATTGGTGAAGGTACATACAATGTGACTTGTAGCAGAAAGCTGGAAGCTTAGTATGTATGGGGCTGCTAACCTCTCGCCCAGTGCCTGTTTCATTAAGCATTCTGGAAAAGAAATTCATTTCTTTCAAATGGTTCTTCCCAGACTATATTGATTATTCAAAGAGAGAGTGTGGTAGATAATGAGAGATGTGGGTAGCATTTGGTGCTATACCCCATGCTCCTCCCACACCACCCTCCATTACTTAGCTTTTTATTACGTCAAGTATTACCAAATAGCTAGTAGAAAGATTTGAGTTTATCGTCCCATTTGTCTAATTTAGACATTCAAAAGAACTTTCATAGCCAATAAATCACAACGAATTATGTTGACAAACATATCATCCAATTTACATACACCATGATCCCACAAAAAATGAGATGACAAGTGATAAATTTATTTTGAGATATAGGTTGAGGAATGAATGTTGGATGAGATACAAAATTTGCTTCTGTGAATATGCTACAGGGACCTAAGTGTGGAGTCTGAGATGATGCAGTTGATCTTGAAACAATGGAACTTCTCCCAATGTTGCAGAATGTATATTCTTGGATCAGTTCAGCTTAGTTGGCTGAATGACTGGTTTGTGATGCAGAATGATGCCAACAGTGCAAGTTCAGTTCCTACACTTGCTGAGGTTACCATGAAGATCCTACTCTCTCAGCCTCATCGCTGAGGCATGGGTGACGCTCAGTTTAAACATACTTTAATGAGGAGCCCTATGGTCCTCCAGGACAATGGTGACCTTATCCTTTATTCTTACGCCAGCATACACAACTCTATAGATAAGGGTGTACGTGAGTAATCAGCCGCTGCAGCAAGTAATTCTGCTTCAGGCTCCTCCTTTTCTTCCATCACCAAAGAAAATAGCAAGGAAAGAATTTCATTTCCAAAATTTTAGTTGTAACAACCAAAATGGCATGTCTACAAGTCCACACAAATAACACTAACTAAAAATATTTGCTAAAAAAAACAAATCAGATCAGACACGGTCCAGAAATCATTTGCTTTTAGATTAGCACATGCCTGATCCTGTTCACCCATTTTGTGTGTGTAGATTATGTCATGTGAGTAATTTGAGGATTTGTGCTGGTTGTCATTTTAGCCTATTTGGATCCTTTTTTTAATTTTGCTAGAAAGTTATTACAGTTAGTGCACAACTGCTAAAAGACAGTGTGAAAGAACAACCAGTAGAATATACTTTCCATAAATTGGAAATCTCTCATAATTTCTTGGAATCTCATTGGTGTCTTTCATGCTGCATTTATAATTCAAAGCATATATATAAAGTTGTCTGTTGTTCACTTGTAAACTACAGGCACTTGTAATGGTTTAAGATGAAACATATAACAGGTCATCATGCAATGAACCTCAATCTGGGAGGTCAGTCCACTGAAATCAACTAAAAGGACACAACCAGTCACCGTACAGGAGGACAGTTTTACATCAATATTAAAGTTAAATCACGTAAATTGTGCCATGAATTTAACTGACTCTGAAGTAAAGCAAATGAAATGACCTCTCATAGTACACTTTATTCCATTTCACTCTTGAGTCAGGCTAGGCTGACTCCAGATTCAAAACTATAAATGTGGCACCAATATTGTGCAAAACCATTTCATACTGAAACTCCATCCACAGTGCAATGCACCAAAGGAAAATGTCCTGATTTTCAAACTGCTGCGAGTTCAGCTTTTTGGAAAATTGTCGCAATGTGCCGATTAACAATTCTAATAAAATCTTCAACCATTACTTTAAAAATCATTACTTTTAGTGGGTTTGTTGAGTTTAGCAAAATCAGAAATGTTTGTTAGGAAATGGATCACTTTCAATTGCAGGCATCCTCCTTCAGTACTAAGCACTTCCAAGTTAGATGTTGTGCCACCAAGCGAACAACAAATATCCCTCTACTCAAATTGTCTTAAAGCCCAAACATGCATCCGTCCTTTAACGGTGATTTTTTTAAAAAATGCCAATTCTCACACTTTCCATTATTCTAATCCTTTTAATTAGATTGCTAACTTCCAAGTGCTCAGCTATTGTGATATATAACATAATACATTCTAGGTAGTGGGATACTATCTTAGTTAGGAGCCCTTACAGAAAGCAAAGGCAAAATTCTGAACCACAAAACTGAAATTTCTATGGTGAGCTAATAGACAATATCACTCAATCTGTGCAAATCCACGCCAACAAATCAAGAGATAACAAGATGTAGCACTGGATGAACACAGCAGGCCAAGCAACATCAGAGGAGCAGGAAAGCTGACGTTTCGGGCCTAGACCCTTCTTCAGAAATCAGAACCCTACCCCCAACAAATCCAGAATTTGTTTCAAATTCATTTTCAGAACTAACTAGTGGTTGTCCTCTCTGGAATAAGAAAATGTGTATATATTTTTCATATTAAATAGAAATGTTTTATTGTTTAGGTAAACTACTTTCAAAAACATGACATAAAACTGATTTCTGTATAAAAATACATACCAGCTAATAATCACACTAGACCAATATGGCCTGCATGACACATTATGACACTGTTTAAAATACAGTCAGTTACCAAAGTTAGGAATGTCAAAATAATGTGAATGATACGTTAAAAATTTAAGCCAATTAATGCCTCACTTTCAACAGTTATTGATATTATTTGCTACTGTCTTCATTAATATTTCAATCATGCAGTTGTTGCTGTTATGTCTGTTCCTGCTGACTATCAATGCTTACCATCTCTTTAGAAGAAATATTGCATCATCTCCTTTACACTTCGTAAACCAAATATAAAGATGTAATATTTATCTGGCTGTACAATAAACTGTTAATGAAATGCATTACATTTATCCACACAGATATATAGTCACATAAAATCATGTTCATTATTTACATCCAGACACTGTTACTCATGCAGACAATGTAGTCAATCATATAATATCCAGACACGTTATTTCCGAAGTAACAAAATACACTGCTATTAAATACATTCGCACTCTATCATATCCAAACATAATACACAATCACACTAACCCCATTGACATTTTTCAAACAGTGGAGTATTTAAACCATTCATGAAAAGGTAAATGCTATTTCTTGGGCATATCTGTAGCCAATTACACTTACAAAAAGTGAGGTAGATTTAATTTAAAAGTGTATTCTGCAGTTTCAGCACTCCATATACAATGTTTGAAAAATATATTAAATTGAGTATTTTAAGTTTGTACGTATTATTTATGTACACAATCACTTTGTGCTTTTGAATCATTACTTCATTTGATGTGTTAAATTCACTTTCCTATTCCTAAGATCAAACGTTTGGCCATGTCACTGAAAACCACTCTGGTCATTGATCTGTCCAATCTCATTAAGTTAGAGTTCAGTGAGAACGCAAACAAAAACAGAAATTGCTGGAGAACCTCACTGGCTCTGGCAACATCTTGTGAAGAAGGGTCATCTGACCCAAAACATTGATGCTGCTTTCTCTCCACAGATGATACCAGACCCGGTGAGTTTCACTAGCTATTTCTGTTTTTGTTTCAGATTTCCCACATCCTCAGTTCTTTGTTTCTGTTGTTCAATGAGAACTCCTTGGTTTAGTGTGTTACATGTATCTCAGCCCGTTTTGGTAGACACATATCCATTCTGTAGCTGGTGAGCATGAATTGCAGAATTTCATTGTATTATTTTAAGTCAAACTTGTTTCATTTTTAAAGGTGTCTTGTTTTAATTTCCATTCTGCTGGTCAGTCTTTCTTACGTACAGCTAGGCTGTAGCTTGGCCTCCAACAGTTTTGGCAAGCTCCTCACTGAAGTGTCAATCCCTGGTCCCTTGCCAGAACAGAATGGTAATCCATTCTGTGAAGCAGCCAACACATGGTGTTTTCTTTGCTTTGGTTAACTGGCAGCTTGTCAGCGTTTGCAGTCCCTGCATTGTGCCACAGGGTGTGTCATAGAAATTGGTAATGTCTTCAGTTTATTGTGACTGTCTTGTCTTACTTCCCTTATTCTGTAAATCCATTTCATTGATGTAGGTAAATGCTTGCTGTTTGCTGACTCCAACCTTCAAATCAAAGCATAAATTATGTGAACACTGTTTTAATAAAATCATGCTGACCGATCTATAAATGATTGTAGAGAAACGTTGCATATACATTACAATTTATCTCTGACTGTTTTAAACCAAATTAATTTCTGACCATAACTTCAATTCACAAATAAGAAATCATCCCTGAGGGAATCTTACAGTATGTTTTCTAAACACATTCTCCAAAATAGAACTTCAACTAATTAAATCCTTTTGTAAATAATTTCAATTCTGAACACTGAAATATATTGGGGGTAAATGATAGTATTTTCTCTGGTCATTGCTTGTAGTGACATTGCAAATCTGCTCCTTTAGACTTGTACTTCTGTTCATAGGACATGTTTCATCAATGCCTATGCTGTCACTAACATGTTAAAAAACAGAATCTTCCCACTTTATTGTTTTACAAAGATTTGATATATAGAAATATGATGAAGCTGATGTTTCAGACAATAAGTGAAAATGAATGAAATTCACCTTTTATTAATGTTAACGAGATGATAAATACATTTCAGTCCAGTGCAGTTTGGTTTGTTATGGCCCATTCTATCTGAAGCTTCCACTGTGTTCTGCTTTTGTATTTTGGTCTTGACTGAAAATCTGCAGGGAAAATAGAATAGTTCTTTATTAATTTTAGAGTCAACAGCAATTCACATTATCAGTGCTGTTTTATCTTAGGCAATAACCTAGACAAATTAGAAAAACAATCAGAATAAGGGCAAAACCATCAAAGGAATCTTTCAAAAGTTGTACTAGAATGCCTACTAATGTAGGAATAATTTCATGTTCAAAGATTAGAAAGTGACTCATAACGTTGTATTACATGTAATATGCATCACAGGGCTAGTTTGAAATTTTCCATTCTTGCTACAGAATTGTTGATGGAGAGCTCTTATGGCCATGGTTTTGATTGCTCCTAATTTTATGGTCATTAAAGATAATCATTGACAAGTTTGAAAACAAACTTGTGCCAGTTCCAATCTGCACCCTGTTGAGCAAGGATTAAAGCCAATAGAACCGAACAGGATTTACCCTCAAATATAAGTGATAATAGACTAATTGGTGACGTGTTTTATAGCCCTTTAAATAATTATTCTATAATGAATCACAAAATGAAACTGTTACTAGTTGGATAGAAGCACACTCAATCTTGTAAAATAAAATCTTTCCTCCACACAACATAACCCAAATCAAAGTGGGCACATGCAAAGTTTTAATGGCAAGGCCGGAAATAAAACAGCATCACAAGGAAAGAAGGAGTTGTGGTGATCAATGAAAATGATCAGCAAAATTAGAAAAGGAAATGAATCAACAGATTTGTATCAGTGGCTGCAGTGGAGTGTTCTGCAGGCAAGGCAGAACAAACTTTAAGTTTTACTGGTAATTCCTAACCTAGTGAAGGTTTGCCATTTCTGTAGATCATTAAATATTATGTATTGACGATTGAAACATAAACTTATTGCAAAAAAGGAAGTCAAAATTGTTCTTTCAGATGGAGCAGCATCCTGTGGGTCAGGAAAAGGAGGTCAAGAATCGAATGGAGCAAAGTGTGCAGAGGTACAGTTTTACTTTAAAATTGTACTTTCTGCTCTCATTTTAACATATTTAAACTTAAATAGTAAAGTTTGTAAAAAATTTGCGAAGCTGAGAATATCTGCTTGGGGTTTCCCCTGCGGTACAGGCTGGTGAATGAGAAATAGAAAAGTGGAGGATTACAGTGCCCCCACCGTCAGAAAATATAACTGAAGCCAGACAAGTTTGCATATTCACAGCGATTTGCAATTTTAGGAAATGAAGAACAGATCGATGCAAGAATTTGAACGCTTTGCTTTCGCGATTTATATGTGCGGAAACTCTTTAAAATTAGTTATTACTTGCAGCTATCTTGGTTTTACGTGAACCATCATATCCATACACAAGGGTAAAAATGTTAAAAACACCTGCTACAGACGGTGAAATTCATGCAGTAATAATAAGGAATCATTCATTCATAAAGTCGGTCGTTGACTTTTTACTTCCATAATAGGCTCAATCCACACTATTTCACCCCAAAGTAAGTAATATTACTCAGCGATTAACTGTTATGATCTAAGGCTTCCTTTTCGCAAGAAAGGAACTTATTGCCTGAATATTTTAGTCCTGGACGTTTTCACAACTCTTTGGCTTTAGGCCCGACCTATTTGTACCCGTGATTAATCTGAAAATGCGGGTGTGGTGAATTTCTACCTTGGTGTCTGTTGCCCATCTTCACAGAATTGCCAGCACACGCTGTCTTCTTGGCTTCGACATTCACACCGTTGCCTCCGTTGCGCCAGCGTTGTCAATTTTTTCTTCACGGACCGTTTGGCCCGAGGGGAACTGCCCAGTCCATATGGGACAACTCGCCTTAAGGGAAAAGAATCAAAGTACAGCACTATTTCCAAAAGCAATCGCCATTTCCACACCACCCCGCCAACCGTGAACATCGTAAAGTGCCAGAATAGTCCTATGATAAAGATTCACTATTATGAGGGTTAGATAAGTCACCTCGACTTTCCCGTTTAAGAGATTAATATTTATGCCTATCTAGAAAATTTAAATGACGGTATATAGCAAAGAAAACGCCAACAGTTCTAATGGTCTCTTAATGCAGAAGAATTTTATTTAGAGGTTGGCGTTTAGAATGAGACTATTGACTATCTATAGCAGAGACAGTCTGTTATAAATTTGCGCCACAATAGGTTGCCTCGCCAGGCGTCCTGTCCATTTATATTGGATGCTACAATGGTACTGCGAAATTCACATAATAAGGTTTCATTTTTCATTATATCTAGTTTTCGGGACTGTCCCCTGACTATATTTGACTCCTTAACACTGCACTTCTACGTACGCTAGAGATCAATACCCCTACTTTCCGGGTAAGATCAAGCTTCATCAGGTCTTAGGCACTAGGAGTTACTTACTCGGGTGTGTTGATCCAGATGATGTCCAAGTGGCAGAAGTAGATGCATTCCTTGTCCAGAAAGGAGGAGCAGGAACAGCGCTTAGTGCGGCTGAGCCGGCGGGGAATCGAGCTCGAAGCTTGGCTGGCAGAGGAGGCCGGAGAGTTGGTCACTGCTGCACCAGAAAATGGAGAACCTGTGGACGACGGCAGAGGATTGTAGTGCCGCACAGTATCAGAGAGGGGCTGAAGGCTTTCATTGATTACACCATTGCTTGTAACTTATCAGTAATACTATTTTACAGAATTAAGTATTGATCAAAAATTTCTCTAGTGTGAAACTGTAATGAGTGAAAATGTTTCTTTTTAATATTTGAATGTAGTGTTGCCTCCTTATGAAGGTGTTTGAGGCCGGGGGCATTGGGATATCGAGCTCTGTATGCATCCCGCGGGTGGGGGCGGGGAGAGTGGGCTCGGGCTTTGTATACGGCCCGGCTCCGCTGGTCAGCACAACCAGTAAATCTCTGATAATTGCTCATTCAAATCTGGAACATGAGGTGGGAGCAACGAGTGCTGCTACCTTCCTCCAGATCCAATCTCAGATCCAACACATTACTGCGTAACTCCAATAAAACCAGCATGTATCGTTTTGAGCTGTGGAGATGGTCTTTTCTGTTAGTAATTTGTGAAGAACGCTTCTGATCGGATGGCAGATTCCTAATGGCTCCAGAAACCCCCTGAAGCGCTCTCTGCGGAAAGAGTGCCAGTAACGTGCCAGTGGTGTTACTGAGTAATATGCAGCTCGGAACAACGGGCTGCTCTCCTGGAAACTGAGCTGTTTTTGGAGAGCACCTGCTGAGTATTAGTCAGAGAGCCAGCTAGCCGCTAATTCACACACTGCAGCCATCGTTCTTTGCGTTTTCTTTTTCACCTGTCTGTTAACCTGTCTGTTAAGTCAATTGGTAGCACATTTCAGCCACAAAGTCCAGTTACTTTCAGTTTTATGAAATTTGCCATCACATAGTTCAATGACAATCGACAAGGCACGCATTTTGGAGAAAAAAGTCATCAGGAATAAACAGTACTTCGATGTTGGCGTGGAGACGATAGGTACTACATTACCTGGTTAGCGAATTGCTTAATTCTGTATTAAACATTTGTGTTATAGATTAGATTTTTACGAAAATATTTATTTTTAAACAGTTTGAATTAAAAAGCCAAATAGAAACAAACATCACGATTAGACATGGCGTAAATTAGCATTGAATTTGTTACATACGCGTTAATCTTTGTGTATGATAGATATATAAGCATTAGAAAGATACACATGGGAAGAGACACGTGTTACCTGATCTTATTTGCAAAACTTCTTAATTCAAATTATCGAATAATTCACGATTAGTTAAAATATTTGTGTTTTCCCCCATTATCCGGATGCGTCTTAACGCGGAGATCAACTTTGAATTATGTGAACATTAGACAGTGACAGATTTTAAAGTTCTCATGAGGATTTAAACCCACCTGTTGAAAAGTGCAGTGCCCACAACAGAGGGAGCAGGGAAAAGAACACATTAAAGTCCATTCTGCAGATTAAATCAGAGTGTTCTAGTCGGATAGTATTCCCTTCCTTACGGAAAGACTATCGGCGGCTTCTATAGTAAATGCGCCGGAGGTAAGTAAACAGCGGAATCAAATTAATCTTAGGTCCAGTTTAGAAGAGCTGCGTGCTTCACTCCAGTCCCGTTCGACTATACTGCTGCCACAAGCCAGACACACTCCTTTTATACTGTACGCGTCTCTTCGTAAACAGCTCAATGTGCTTTTATCCTAAGACAATGTTATTAGTCACCCCAGAGGAGCTGTAGACATAGATAAGCAACACGCTGCCTACAAATAACCTCCTCCACAGACGGGGCGAGGCCAGCTACTTTTTTTAAAGTACTTTGCCAAAGCTTCTACCAGTAAGGCTACACTCTCCACTGAGGGTGGCGGTGTACACACAGTTCGGCAAAAGGCCAAGAGCCAATCAGAAACTCAAATATTGACTGCTTTCTGAAATCGATTTCAAAAGCTTACACCGTGACTCTTGTGGTGAAGTGGTAATGTCCCTACCTCTGAGACCAGGATTCAAGTCCCACCTGCTTCAGAGGTGTGCAAGAGCATCACTTAAATAAATTAAAAGTATCTACACCAAGATCTCACAGGCTGGGAATATATTCTGTCAAATATTCTGAAAGGCAATGTCCTAACTATCCCAGCTCCGAACAACTTTAACAGTGGTCCTATTTCAGAATTCGAGGTTTTACTCAGAATAAGGATTCTCTTTCTGAAGACTCTGAGAAGCTGATGGATTTCAAGATATCACGCCACCCTTGTCTTGAGTCACAGGACTATAGATATTTTCAGAAATGACATTAAATACCTCTGGCATAGGTGGGACTTGAACCCGAAATTTCTAGCCCAGAGGTAGGGTCATTATTATGCACCGTAAAAACTCTCCAAATGAGGGAAATGCTGCCAGGGGAGTAGGTGTTTTCTAATCAATCTGTTCAGAGGTGTAATTAAACACATCTGGAGCATGTGGGACTTGTAGGTAGGCCTTAGCCCAAGAGTCAAAATCATGGAAATGTACAGCATACAGACAGACCTTTAAGTCCAACTCGTCCATGCTGACCAGATGTTCTGATTAATGGGCTCTTTCTGTGTCCAGTATTTTCCCCATATCTATTTAAACCCTTTCTATTCATATACCCATCTACATGGCTTTTAAATGTTGTAATCCCACCAGCCTCCACCACCTCCTCTGGCTGTTCATTCCATACATGCACCACCCTCTGCATGAAAACATTGTCCCATAGGTCCCTTTTAAATATTTCCCCTCTCACCTTAAACCTATGCCCTCTAGTTTCGAGACCTTGACTATGGATGTTATCCATGCCTGTCATGATTTTATAAACTTCTATATGATCACCCCTCAGTCTCTGATACTCCAGGGAAAATAGCTCCAGCCTATTCAGTCTCTCCCTATAGCTCAAAACCCCTAACCCCAGCAACATCCTTGTAAATCTTTTCTGAACCTTTTCAAGTTTCACAACATTTTTCTTATAGTAGGGAGACCAGAATTTAATACAGTATTCCAAAAGAGGCAAAACCAATGTCCTATACAGCCACAACATGACCTCTCAACTCATATACTCAATGCATTAGCCATAAGGCAAGCATACCAAATGCCATCTTCGATACCCTGTTTATCTGTGACTCTGCTTTCAAGGAACCATGAACCTGAACCCCTGTTTGGCAACACACTCAGGGCCCTACCAATGAGTGTACAGGTCCTGCTCTGATTTGTCTTTCCAAAATGTGGCACCTCACATTTATCTAAATTAAATTCCATGTGCCACTCCACAGCCCATCTGATCAAGGTCCCGATCCTTGTGGCTCATTGCTACTCACAAGTCTCCAGTCTGAAATGGAATCCTCCACCACCATCTTCTTTTACCTTCGAGCCAATTTTATATCCAAATGGCTAGTTCTCCCTAGATTCCAAGTGATCTAACCTTGCTAATCAGTCTACCATGCAAAACTTTGACGAATGCTTACTGAAGTCCATATAGACAACATTCACTGTTCTGCCTTCATCAATCTTCTTAGTTACTTCTCCAAAAAACTCAATCAAGTTAGTGAGACGGGATTTCCCACGCACAGGAAAGGGACATTACCTGCTGCTCACCTGGTTATATTTTTAACGTTTAATCTAAAGTCATTAATGATAATTAGATATTTTCCAGTGTGTCTTTCATTTCAACAGTCATTTTTATCCAACCAGTGCAGCAGTAACTGCAAGGGGCGGCAGTTTGTCCTATCTCGGCCATTGATTCAGGGGTCGAACAAGGAGATAAACTCCGGGAATTAGTCAGCAGGGTCGTGTCTTCTTAGACTGTCAAAAGAGTCTCGGGTCACGACAAACAAAGATCCAATACCACAATGGTACCGCCTTCAACCTGCATTAATTACAGGATGAAATGTATTTAGAATGTTTAGTCCCAAAAATATCGTGAGCCAAACGAACGGGGAAACATTGGGACAAATGGCCAAAACCTTTGTTAAAGAGGGACATTTGAAGTAAATGTGTTGAGGTTTAGGGAGACTATTAACTACCAAAATAACCTCACCAACTCTAATCAAAGAACTAAACCAGCATTCGCTTAGAATTTTACTGAAAATTGCAAGGAATAATCTCCACTCACGTCTGGCCAATACTGAAAACGGACACGTGGTTGCTGGTATGTGTTTTGTTAGCAGAATTTACACAGAAAGATTTCATTAAGACGCAATCAGCCACAAACGGGAAAAGTGGATTGATGGAATGAAGATAGTCTGTAGCAAACACAACAATGATGTTGAGTAGGGTTAGTTAGAACTGCCAACGCTGGAGTCAGGCAGCATCAGAGGAGCAGGAAAGCTGACGTTTCGGGTCGGGACCCTTCTTCAGAAAACTACATCCTTAAACCAAACAGCAGGCTGTCTATTCAAGTTGCAAGAGATGTCGCACACTGAAGAATACACTAATTCGTTTCACTCTTAGATTGGATTTAAACCAAATAAATTAGCTGAAAAGGAATCGTCAGTTTACCTATTCCATAATGTGATTTAAAATGATAAATGTTAACATTTACATTCTCCTTAAAGCATAATGTTGAGAGTGCAGAACACATCTTTCCGTTCCGATTTTTCTACACATGTTAAACAACACGATTTTCCTTGAAAATCACCAAGAAAAACGTTTACAAAATAAGCATGAAAGGAATCAGAATTAAAACCGAAACTAGTTTAATTCCAGCGAACTGCTTTGATGCGAGACGTCAACATTGAGAATACTATCGGCAGTAGGCCGAACACATTTGTTTCAGCCTCCATGCATCCACTTTAATTTCTCCCAAGTCCGTATTTTTTCGATGGTAAATTGACCGTTTCTGTCACGGTGCCTGTAACTAGATAAAACAGTCAAGTGCGCCTCAACTTCCCAACTCATCTTACACAATAACGCCCAGCATTTTGAAGTATCACGATATCCACGAAGCCTAAAGCAACAAAAGATTGCCCTTTGAACACTAGAGGGCAGAACATGGTAAGACAACATGTTCACCTTAAAGCAGCACCATCTTGACCAAGAACGCAAAGGTATCGACAGCACAGGATTAGACCATTTAGTTGAACGGTGTTTGTGCCCCAATCGAACTTCTTACCACTTATCTTCGCCAGCTTAACACCACCAGCATTTATGAACCATGGATATGAATGTCCTGGAGCGCAGTAATCCCCTAGATAGCAGAGGCCAAGACGATCTGACAAATAAATAATTAGCTTGCTGGCTGCTACTAGAGCTCTACCGGTGGTCAGGGATCCTGATCCCATGCATTAGTATCTCGGATTCAAATATAATACGGACTCAAAACCAGGGCTTTTCAAAGCGGGGTTCAGGATCCCGAGTGGTGTCGTAAGTTGAAATAGCCGCCCAGGGATTTGATCGAGTTATAACACCCGTATCCCTATTGCAGCAGGGTCCCAATTTAACAGCCCTACATTCCCCTCCTCCCAGAGATCTCACTGAACCAGTCCGCTCAGTGTACAAACCTGGACATGGGGTCACAGTGGGATGATGGTACGGAAATACTACTCTAAATTATTGTAAATAATATTGACATTACATAAATACAGATCGTACTATGTTTAGACTCATTGAATGCAATATAGGCGAGGTTAATATTCAATCTACGGGTTGTGATCCAACGCTCTTAAAACGGACTTCTGCGTAAAACGACCATGATTTTAATATTTGGAAAGTTTCAAGAATCAATATTCCAACAGACTCTACAGATGTTCCACATGAAATGCATGCCTCCCTTAATGCAATAATAATTGACAGCATTTCACCCTGTACAGCCAGGGTGCTGGTGTCACATCGATAGGCAAGGACCTGGGCTGCATTGCTGCATATTCGCTTGGGCTGCATTGACACATTAGGAGGCTTTGTCTTGGGCTGTATTGGTGCTTTGAAATGCTTTAGCCTGGGTTGCATTGACACATTGACAGTTGTTAGTCCGGGCTGCAGTATTGCATTGAGAGTCTGATGCAGTTCTTTTGCTGTGACAGAAATAGTATATCTTTGGGGCATATATACACAATGCCAATAGGTCTATCAGCTTTCTTCTGGCCAGAGGGATTCTGCATATAACATAAAACATGAGGTTATAAGGACAAAAATGTTATGGTAACCGAAGGCTGTAAGGATTTTTTCTTCAATGAAGTGATTGAGTAGTCAGATCATCCTCCTTCACCTGGAGAACTGCCTTCTTCTCTTCCAAATACTTGATATTAACATGAAGCTCTTCCCTGTGCTGGGTAGGTTCTGCTTCCCTACAGATAGGGCCCAGTTCTGCCACTGTCCCTGGTGACTCGTGGGCTGGAGAGTATCTGATGTGACTTCAGTGATTTCTTCACCACTTTCCATCCATAACTGACTTCAGTTGCTGGACTCAAGTTGCCTGGATTCAGACAACTTCCACTGGGGAAATGATATTAGACATTAAGAAAATTTTCAGAGCAATTTACATTGGTGATGTGATTAGATTTACAAGTTCCATATAGTTTTTGCAATCAGGTCCATGCAAGTCTGTGAAATTAAATTTTAGTTACCACAATTAAAATCACTGAGTTGATAGAATTTGAAGAACACATACCCTATCCATATAGTACCTTCC